GCCAGTCTCATCCTCTTGATCCTCCCATGCGGTTCTGGTGAGCTAAGAAAATGTTTGTCTCTCTGATCCTGGCCTTTATAATTCCATTTCATCACAGAACTACAGTAAATAACTTTCACTGTTTCTCTGCCCAGCCTATCTCACAGGACTGTTGCTATGGGGGGCGGGGGGGGGGGGGAGGGGAAGGAAGCACTGTGCATGCTGCCCTGAAATCCTGAATGAAAAGAAGGATACATATTATTCACCCAATTAATCAATTGTGGCCTGTTATGGAGATTTCCTTCACTTACAATAAATATGAACATGTGATACCCTTTTGTACGTGTAGAGTTACCTGCCAGAAGCCAAGCTGCAAAAAATGTGAAGAGCCATGATAAAAAAAATGATTATATATTAACTATTAATCAGAATTAAGGGTCTGTAAACTAGCTACATAATTTACAAAATTAATTGGTCCCCCCGTGAATATATATCAGCCATTTTCTCTCCCACACCAGCTGCTCTCTCATAGAGAAACATTCAAGTATGCACATGAACGTGCTCATCAATCCATTCTTCTAGCAAAGAGAGGAGTAGGGTAATGGAGGACAGACAGAAAGAAAAAATTCTGTATGATATGAAAAGCCTATAATAAGGATTATATCCCTTTGGAAGCAGTAGCTGATATTCGGCGATCTTTGGCTATGAAGGCCGTACAGACAGATGCTATGTAAGAACCCCTACATGATCTGAAGCACCACACAGCTGTTTCAACAGCTGTTTCTATTACTATCAGGGTATAAGGTGACCAGCTCCAATTAACAATTTAATTAACAATTAAAATTTGGAGGAAAAAAAACCCCTTATCTTTTCATCTGGTAAATACATATAATAATCGTGCAAGTATTCCTAGGCATATCTCTCTTTTTTACAATTCCTAAGATACTGTATATATCTATTCCTAGAATATAAATAACATATCATCAGTATTTATCTTTCATATGTTGTGTATAGAAAGAGCATGATTACTCAATGGCACCAGGATTTTCCCCCCAATATGTGTAATGTCTCTGCAAATTTTCCAAACTCTTGCATGCACCTGGTTGTATGAAAATAAAATAAAATAAAATAAAATAAAATAAAATAAAATAAAATAAAATACAGGACTTGTATAACAGCTTCTACCTGATTGTAGTGTTTCCATAGCAGCCTAGGTCCCCAATGCCAAGGTCATCAGCCAATAAGATGACAATATTGGGCTTGTAGCTGATTAAAGCATGCAATTCACTTGGCTTCAGCACCAGGTAAAAAGTTAGAAATAAGATTGGATATCTCCTAAAAAAGATGACAGAGCAGTTAGTCATTTTAGTAAAATCCCAAGGAAGGCTGTTCTTAATACATTTATAGATTGTTATAAAACTGCAGAAGCCAACAGTACATTGTATCAAAGGTATATGCTCTTCTTCAGTCTCAAGGACATTAATGTGAACAGAGAGAGCCTGACATTTTGCTGCCTGAAGGTAATCAGAAAGTGTTGCCCCACATTTCCTTACTGAAGTCAGAATGCATCACACCAGAAAGCCATCAAGCCACATCAGGCAGAAAAACCCATCTGAAGTTCAGGAATTCGAAGAATAATGCATGCTGAGTCACAGCTGTGGATTGCTAAAACCCAGGGAGTAGAGAACTTTCTTCTGACTTCGCTGCTGGCATGGAGCAGCACAGTTCTCCAGGCAGGCATTTTTCATTGTGGTTTTGCCTAAAATAGAGAGTTTTTGAACTTTTCAATCAAAGGACTTGTATTCAATATTTTCATGGTGATTTGTATTTCTATACATAATTCTTTTCCCTAACATAGTTCTTTTTTAAAAAAACTGTAGACTGCATTGCAACATTCAGTCAGCTATAATTTTTGCATCTCAGTGTGGATTAAATGAATTTCTTCTTCATCCTTAGTGTACACAGAAAGAACAGAGGAGGCTAGGTCAGCATCCATAGTTTGTTATTCTACTTGGTTTAAAGTAGACATTTAAGAGGATGACTGAACAGGCTATATTTATTATCCTATATATTCATTTCCCTAACACCACCTTCTTTTAAATGTATACAACAGTATAGAAATGTGCAGCTTGTAAATTTAAGGACATACTGGAATAAAACATACAGTGTATTTTTGTTTTTAACATATGACTTCAAGCAGCTCTTGCAAAAATGGTCAAAACTAAACATTTGTCTTAATGTTATTCCAAATATCATTAAAACAACATCCCATGAATTGTAGTACTAGTAATCTTTATTTCAGCATAAGATAAGTGATGACATTCATAACCATCCCATTGTAAAGTTAGAATTGCTAACACAACTATGAAATCATGGTTCTGCTAAAATTTTAAGGTTAAGATTATGAAAATAACAGCGATACATAAAACCTGATTACATCCAGAGGGCAGCATAATATAACACAGTTCTATATACACTGTGGGATATCAATGTCAAAAGGATATATTATGAAATATAGCTAAAAATAAAAATAGCTAACAAAAAATAAAAAAGTATTACTAAAATCTACACTTTAAAATATAATTAATATTAATATTGAAACTATGAGAATTATAGTATGATATAAAATCACGTGATATATCAAAAGCCATAGTAACAAAACTAAAAAGCTAAACTGCTAAAATGAACCGAGAGAATAAAAATGCATGAGCACGGTTTTTGCCAAACTGAGAGCACTAATGGCTGATCAGTGAAGGGGCATTCAGCTGAAGACAGATGGCCTTGTAGAATTAGCAGTAAAGGAGGACATGGTTTTGGTGGCACAAATTCTATAAAGATGGAGTTGCCCTGCGAATGGAATGTTCTGTATTTCTCCTCCAAAACTGCTGTGGGGAGCACCTTGAAATGGAGCAGAGGTACAGTTCTTCTAAATTTAGGGACAACAATTTCATATGAATAAAGGCTGGTTCATGATCTGAAAATAGATTGTTTGTAACTACAACTTGGAGGTGAATGTTGTGTTCCTTACTTCAGCAAAAAAAATCCACAACAGTCAGAGATTCTTATACAGCGAACAGCAAATTCTAATGGTTTTAAATTCTCTAAAATCCTTTGTATTAAGGTTAATTTGGCCTCAGTGGGCCCCAGTAGCAAAACAACAATACAAGAAAAGCCATAATAATTTAATTTTCATACGATCGCTTTTTTTCTCAAGAAGAATCAAGAAGTATCTGTCAACATTGTATGGGGCAATACAACTGGGTTATGGAAAAGTTTTAGCCAATAAGTAAAAAAAATATTTATTCAAAGACTAAATTCAGCATTACTGACCCTGCTTCCTGCCAGACCATGTTTAGAATTCAGTGGGTAACCTGGAAAAACAATTGTCAGAAATTTGATTTAGACTCTATAATAATCAGGTTATTATAGAAGTCTAGTTTATAATTTAATTGCATCAGGTAGAAACGGTACACTTTGAGCAAAATATAAGCTTGGATAGCTGAAGCTGATCTATATGCATTTTGAGATACATAGTCTAGGTGAGCATTTTGGCTTCTAGAAACTTGAAAAACTATCCCTATATATTTGAAGGTTTTAACCTGTGCCCACCTTACTTCCAGATTTGCTGTTTTGAACACTGGGAGAAGGTGAGGATCTTGTCTGGCAAAATTTGTTATAAAGTTGTCCTTATTGCTATAAGAAAGGAGTGGGTGGTATGTCTAAGTCCACAGGAAAAGCAGATTTGGAAGTGGTTTCAGGTCCTCTGATCTCAGAAAGTGTTGTGGAAGGATGCAATGCATTTCCATTTTTTGCAGTTATCTATAGGGGTTGGGGAAACCAAATCAATTAACAGAGGAGTTGTTTCATGCATTTCAGGTTAGGTTTGCTGAAGACCTTCTAGTTTCCTCAGTAGAAACTGTTTGCTTCCTGGGAAAGCTCCAAAAGTATCAGAAATTACGTTGGCTTCCAGAGGTTCAGCAACCATCTATTTTTTGGTCATTATCTGAGGTTACTATCTAAGGAGACTGCTTTTCAAGAGCATTTCTGATTTGATGTCTTCATGCTTCTCTGCAGCTGTTGCTTTTCATGTTTGCGTTTTTCCAACAAGATGCTGCCAGTACTTTAAAGAAGGAAGTAATCTCTGCCTGACAAAACACCCGTTTTGGAAATGTAGAGAAAGTTTCCCCAAAGGGCTTCATTTTAAATAATATGTTTGAAACTGCGGGATGCTTAAATATCAGCAAAATTCACTTGTTGCCCATTTGACTGGGAGCTGCTCTGCCTCCAATAGATCAGTCATATACAAATGACAGCCAAGTAATTGACTTTAGGAGAACAAAATTGCTTTCTTTGAGCCCCATAGGCCTTTATTGAATTTATGAAGGATGATCTGTAAAACAAAGCAAAACCTTGATTATTTTGGAGGGTGTCGTTGTTTTTGCTTCCAGGCCCTCTGTCTTTCATGCACCAGGTGGAGACTTTTTCTGAGTTGGTCACCCTTCCCAGTTGATTCAGTGTTAAGATTAGGATCTTTCTTCTGGATAAAGGCAGCTTGCTTATTTTAAGGTTGAGGGTTTTTGGTGTAATAACCTCTGCTAATTTAGCAGGAGAGCATGCATGCATCAAAGGACTCTTTCAGAAACTCCACTTTTCTGTCTACTGCAGTTAAATATTCAAGGGTTGAAATTATAGGCTGGGCTGTCAGGAAGCACTGCCTGGATACAAAGTCTGTACCATTGTCCTTTTTAAGGGTCTCTTTTTGGCAGCCTTCTGAAGTGGCTGCAGCAGCTGAACAAATGGCAGCTGTCTTGAGAAGTTATTGAATCTAGGGAGCTCAGGGGCTCTAATTCCTCATGCTTCTGCTGCTAGTTAAACCTCATTCGCAGTTTGCATATCCCACTCCAGAGACTTGCTTCTCTGTGAGCACTTTTATTATTACTCACATCATCTTTCTTCTTCTCAAGTCCCATGAGATAGTCAATTTTTTGTTGTTTGAATGGTTTATATAAGAGGTTATTTTCTGTCATTTATTCTTTCTTCCCATTGTATTATCATTTTTTATGAAGGCAAATGTAAATTAGGTACTCAGTCAGTAGAGAATAAAAGCTAATCATACATAATTAGGTTCTAGTGAAATAAAACAAAATGACTAATCAAAAAAGGAGCCCAGAAAGGTAACCAGGGAGCACTAATTAAAAAGGTGTTTTCACTTCATATCTTAACTCAGTGTTGTCCAAACTTGGCCACTTTAAGATGAGTGGACTTCAACTCCCAGAATTCCCCAGCCAGCATGGCTGGCT